CCTACTTGTCCCTTTCTAATAAAGCCATCCCCCTTCATTCATTCAAACCAACTGTAATTCGTGTGCTCAGAGCTCTTCATGGCGCCAAATCAAGTTTGTTGGTCAATGAGATCAAGTGTTTGTGGAGAGATTTCTTTACCAATGAACTTGGCTATCTTGTCCCCAGCATCTGCTGGATTCTAAATAAATGGAATATCAAATGATCAGGAAAAATTAGTGCATCCATCAGCCGTGTTTATTAAGGATAATTGGTAAAAAAAACTCAAACAAAACAAGGGAAAAGGCTGTCATCTGTCTCTATTTAAGTTTAACGTTACGCCCAATTGCGCCTAATTACGCCGCATTATCAAGTTTGGCAACTGTTGTTGAAAATATAAACACAAAAAATGAAATAACTTATTTATATCTAACGCAAAGTGGACGTAGAACAGAGGTGCCAATGGCAGAAAAGTCTCCTACTTCATCGGCCAGGAAAGAAAGTGGAATTTTTAGCATTTGTGTGGCTTACATTACACAATGTATGCAGTATGAGTTTCTATACGGCATTCATTTAGGACAATGAATTTTTTTACAAGAATGACTATTCCATCTATTTTCTTACTTTAATCCTGCCTTCGTACGTAAGAAACAAAATGTTAGGATCGTCTCTGTGTTTCCACCAGCTTAGCACGTGATCAAACCCCACACCAAATGGGACTAAAAACAAACCATGTATTTATGTTATGCATATTTCTGTTCCCGTTATTCTTAGGTTTTTAAAATCTCACAAATCTCACAATAGTTAAAGTCAACAAACTGGAAAAACAAAGATTGAGCCTGCCGTGTGTGTAACATTTCGTGAAGATTTTCTGTCAGGAAGAAACGTAATCAGTCACAATTGGTTTCTATGATCACTACAGACCAATTTAAATTTATTAAAATTGAATTCAGCCTAACACAATAGACTCCCGGGGAAAAAACTCCACAAACTCTGTAGTTATTCCCCAGAGCCTCGTACTGAGGTCTATTGTTTTAGGCTGAATTTTTATATATCGAAATTGGTCTATTGGTGCGACTGCGACGTTACATGACATGGCATGACACGACATGATGTGACGTGACGTGACGTGACGTTACATGATATGACGTGTACGGCATGAAATTATCAAACAAGTTCAACAAATGCAAACGCAGTGCCAAGCCCATCGACACTCAAAAAGAAATAAAAACAACTTTTCAGCCTTGATGATATGTTTTTTAAATGCGTATTTTCCAGCCTTTATTACGTTCTCTTACTAACCATTTCCTTTCATGAGGCGTCCAAAGGCCTCATCCCACATGGGAATTTCCTTGTTATAAGGCGGAAATGATGATAGTAGGACACAAAGGCATCTTTAGGATTGCGCATAGCATAAATGTAGCGAGGCTTGGTAGCTTCATCGTGGCCCTTGGGAACCATGTCATACCGGAAATGAGTTTTAAATACACGTGGGGCAGGAAAGCTGCTAAACATTTTCTCTATAGACACCACGTCGTTCACGGTATAAAGATAAGATTTGAACGGCAAAGTCATTCCTTCGAAAAAAAGAAGAAAAGGGGGAGAGACTGGAATTTGGCCACTGCATACGTCTAAGAAGAATATAGTCAAACACTGGAAACGTTCTTTCAGCGTTGTCCATACTGAAATTGAAGTGTTTTGCGCATCTGAAACTAAGATTTTGTTCAATCCGGGAAGGGGGATTGATAGTTTCCCACGCAGCTTCGCATACGCTCCCTCCGCCCCTCCCACAAAGTATAATGCGTGCTAAAATTCTTTGACTTTCAAGGAGATGTAAGAAAGAAAAAAAAAAAAGCGAGAGGCATGGTTAAAAGATAAAAATCAAACATTTTAAAATGTTTACAATATAAAAGAGCTGAGCGACACGTGAGTTGCCAATCTGCACACAATTACCGCGGAGAAAGAATTTTCACATCAATTTGTTTGCAGCCAAATGATTTGGGTTTTCTCTTGATCAATTTTTTTTTTTATATCGAACACTTTCAACAGCTTTTGATTTTTCAGGAGTTTTAAAACATCAGGGATTTAGATTTTGGCAAAATTGGCTCCCGAAACGAGATTTTCCCTCAATAAATAGCTATTAATTAGTTGATCGACCAAACCAATGACGAAAAACGTAAGGGTTTCCTGCCTCTAGCTCCCTCTTCAGTCTCGTAACTTCATTTTTTTTTTATCGACGGGGAGAATTCACTGTTTGGTCACATTTGCATTGGAACTGTTCACATTTGCGCCATAAAAGAACTACCTACATGCAACAGAAAACTAATTAAAAGGCTTTGAACCTGATCTGGGGTATGACACAATGAAGATGATGTCATCCTTCCTGGCAGGCAATCTTGTTAAAGCTTCCACCTTTTCTTCAGTGGTCCCCAGACCACACGGCACTGAAAGCCCATGAACCATCACCACGTCATCCATATGTCAGCTTACACTTTGCTAATGTTCCTAAAAGGTCAATGTATTTATAAACTCCCTTTGTAGACTTTGTACAAGCCTATTACAATTACAGGGGTAGCAGCGCAAACGGGCTTAGCTCGAGGAAGAGCGATTGGAAAAAGAGGCGAGTGATTTTGGGCGCTGGCCCCGGCTGAACCATCGCCTGCTGACCGCCTGTTTGTTTTTGTTTTCTTTTGCCTCCTTGGTTAAATATACACCATTTACGCCCTCGACATTGCTGTGGATAATTTTGTTCCGTCTTTGAGGGTTGTGCCTCTAGACCCTCTAGAAGTGGGTGATGGCATTGTTTTGGTTATGTTAAGCTGCACTGGTCTGTACCTCTGACAAATCTGATGTTATGCTGATAGCTATCCGTTTTCAGTCAGTGGAATGGGCGATCTCTTATCTTTGTTATGCCCGTGTGATCATTGAATCACCTGATTTGCTTGCACATTAGACTATCCAGAAAGGGACAGTCAGTCGGGCATAAAGACGCCAATCCTGGAGCGAGTCATGCGTGATTCCAATTTGACTAGATCGAAACCTGAGTTCACTTCTGTTTTCGTTTTTTCCTTTAAACATTTTCCACGAAAACTGCTTTCCATCAGTATCCAACAAGTTTAAGCAATTTTATTTCACCAATTCAACGTTCACTCGAGTGTCACACTTATTCGGGATCAGCAAAGTACATTTCGACATCACAGTTTTAACCAACTTTTTGCAATTCATCATTCGATCTCCTTTTTGTCATCCATGAGCTTAGTAGGCAGTCGAATGGCACTCACTCGATTCCGATTAAACCTGGATGAAACAATTTTCTCCTACATCCCCTACTCAGTATTGTTTTTATCCAGGAGTGGTATGTCGTCTTCAGGAAGGTTTTTTCGACGAGGGGGCACTAGAAAGGCGTACATTTTTGCCCGATAAATCGAGAGCCTGGGTACTAGTTTGTTGAACGATTCAAAGATTGAAGTCGGCCATTTTGGTTTCATGTGTTTTTCTTCCGTAAATATTTTGTTTTTTGCCCATCGTCTTTTGCTCACGTGTAGATGAAAGCTGGTAGACGTAGTTATNCGGCCATTTTGGTTTCATGTGTTTTTCTTCCGTAAATATTTTGTTTTTTGCCCATCGTCTTTTGCTCACGTGTAGATGAAAGCTGGTAGACGTAGTTATGACTGCGGTAATATATCGGTCACAACAGCACGGTCGGCGAGGTCAAAGAATTGATACAAGAAACCCGGGAAGTCGAAGCCAGAAAGTGGGCAAGAGAATTTGATGGTTTCCACTCGCTGTCTCTCCTTGTGGAGTCCAAGGTAAGCTTAAGTTCTTGTTAAGTTTTGGTTTCATTGTTTCTTTGTCGCTTTTTGTTTTTTGTATACGCACACTGAAATTCTGCCTGTGTTAGTACTGTTAGGCCCCATTTATATGGTCTCGGGTACCCGAGACAACCCTGCCCCCGAGGCAACTTTATCTAGCGTTTATATGTGAAAACGTAGTCCCTGTAAGCCAAGTCAAAGTTGACCCAGCACGATTATTCATAACCCTTATTGAATAATCAAATGTGCAAATATTCCTCTTTATTTGAGTTTTCCTCGGTCATGTGATCACAGTTGGTTTTGCCAAGTTAATTTTCTCTTCTCTGATACAAATTTCTGATTTTAAACGTAAATCTAGGCATTACGTGACACTTGCCACACCGAGAATAGTCCCGGTTAGGCGAGCCAAACTGTTTATGTGAGGTGATGGACAAAACACTGACCCCTAGTCCATGGACTACCCTAATGGACTACTCAAATGGACTACCCAAATGGACTACCCTAAAATGGACTAACCCTAAAAAATACTATTTCAGATGAGTGGTATGTTAAGAAGCTGTGATTATATACTTACACTGCACGGAGGATGCTTTTCTTTTCGTTCTGCATCGCCTTCAGCTGCCATTTTGAATAACTATACTGAATGAAACAACCACTGTACACAAAAAGCGTACACTCAAATCAAATCAAATATTCTGTGGACAACTCAATCATGCTCCCATGTGATTCAGTAGCTCAGTCTTTCTCGAACAGACGAAATAATCTTCAGGATGTTACTCATGATTTGTATTGCTAGTTTTGTGCCGAAAATTATGGCACAGAAGCAGCTAGTCTTCTGGTTTTTTCCTGAGTGTATCAAAATGAAATAGAAATGGGAATGAGGATAACGCTATG